AGACACCATAAGACGCCATCAGCGAGCGTTGCTGTGAGCCACGGCGTAGCCGTGGCGGGTTCCACTTGTTTTAATAAAAGAAAAAGGAAAAAAAAAACAAGAAGGAAGAAGAAAAGAACAAAAAAAAACCCCTTAAGTGTGTGTGTGTGTGTGTGTGTGTGTGTGTGTGTGTGTGTGTGTGTGTGTGTGTGTGTGTGTGTGCATATGTGTGTGTGTGTGCATGCAGTAGAGTGAACTGCGGGCGCGGGCACGCACACACACACACATGCGCACACACAGGAACTTTTTTTGGTTTCTTTTAAACTGCCCGTGCCCCGCGGTGGCTTCCAACATGTGCGCACCAGTGGGGGGGGGCACGTTCAGGTTCTTCGCCTCCAATGCCACGTGGCGCGCTTAAACGCGTTGGAATGTGCGAGCACACGTTTTGAATGTGCGCATTTGAGCGCGAATGCTCGTTCAGCATGTTCAAACGGTAACATAGATACTCCTCCTTTTACGAAGGTGGAGCTGTGCTGGCCTCCCTTGCTTTTCATGTTTTCATGTCTAAGCGTTTGGATCTGGAAGCGGGTGATCAGGAGAGAAGGGAAGAAAGGATGGCAGATGGATGGCAGATGGAACAAGGGGAGATGGATGGTGGATGGATGAAAGTGGATGGGTGGTGGATGGAGGATGCACGATGGATGGAGAAAGGACGAAGGTTGGGGGACGATGTGCGATGGATGGTGGATGTAGAAAGGACGAAGGATGGAGGGAAGGTGCGTTGATGGAGGGAATGTGCGTTTATGGAGGAGGGAAACGAGAGGAAAGAGGAACAGATATGGAGGATGGAGATATGCAGGAAGGAGGACGAAGGGTGGAGTAGGTTGGAAGCACGAGGGAGAATAGAGGCATGAGGGAGAATAGAGGAGGTAGGAAGGAGGATGGAGAAGCAAGATGGCGCACAGAGGAGGGGAGGGGAGCGATGGAGATCTTGTGCACATGGAGGCTGGGAGATGTGTGGAGGAGGGAGAGATGGAGGAAGAAAGAGGGAGAGATGAGGAGGCCGGAAGGACGATGGAGAACCAGGAGAAGCGAGGTGGCATGTGGAGGAGAGGAGGGGTGGAGGTGCCACGTGGAGTCCAAAGCCCTGTTGCAAAAGTAATTAAAAAAAAAAAAGTGCTTGGACGGTGAAATGGAAGGAGAGAGAAAGGGCGGAGGAAGGAGGGAGAATTGAGGTGCTGCGCGGAGGAGGGAGGCATGGAGGAAGGAGGAGGGATGAAGAAGCAGGGTGAAAGGGAGGAAGAAAAAGGGAGCCAGGATGGGAGGAGGAGGGATGAACCAGGAGAAGCGAGGTGGCACATGGAGGAGGGGAGGGGTGGACGTGCCACGTGGAGTCCAAAGCCCTCTCACCAATGTAACAAGAAAAAAAAAACCCTTAAAAAAAGGTGGTTCGATGATGAAATGAAGGAAGGAGAAGTGAGGTGCTGCACGAAGGAGGGAGACAAGGAGCTGCACGAAGGAGGGAGACAAGGATGAAGGAAGAGGGAGAAAGGGAGGAAGAAAGAGGGAGACAGGACGAGTGGAGGAGGGATGAACCAGGAGAAGCGCGGTGACACGTGGAGGATGAGAGGTGTGGAGGTGCCACGTGGAGTCCAAATCCCTGTCGCGAACGTAATAAGAACAAAAAAAAAATTGCTTGGATGGCGAAATGGAGGAAGGAGAGAGGAGGAGGAGGGAGAAGTGAGGTGCTGCGCGGACGAGGGAGACACGGAGGTTGGAGGAGGAAGAAAGGAGGAGGGAGGAGGGTGACGAAGGAGAAAGATGAGGGAGGTGGGGAAGGAGGATGGACAACCAGGATAAGTGAGGTGGCTTGTGGAGGAGGGACAAGTGACGATAGGAGTAGGTGCCGCAGGGGAAGAGTGTGTGTGTGTGTGTGTGTGTGTGTGTGTGTGTGTGTGTGTGTGAGAGAGAGAGAGAGAGAGAGAGAGAGAGAGAGAGAGAGAGAGGGAAAAAGAGTTAATGGACAGCATGCAAGAGAGAAAGTGGATGGTGTGTGCAAGAGAGAGAAAGTCGAAGGCGAGCGCGCATGCGCATGAGAGAGAGAGAGAGAGAGAGAGAGAGGAGAGAAAACATAAGACCGCCCTCCCCCCACCCCACAACGTCAAGTGTATTATCTGTACCGATCAGTTTCATATCTGATCCGTGGTCCATCGAGACCCAAAAAAAACATTGGCAATAAATATGCGCTCGCGAAAGAGCTCGAGAGATAGAGAGAACACCTACGAACCCCCTCCCGCCCCCACCATCAAGTGTATTATCTGTACCCATCAGCTTCATATCTGATCGGTGCTCCATCGGGACCCAAAAAAATGAAACAGAAAACATCGTGTGAGCGCGCGCGCGCGAGAGAGAGAGAGAGAGATAGACGCACTGGCAAACAAGTAAGTCTCCAACCCCACGGCTGGCCTCACACTACTTGCATCGATAGGATGAGAAAAATTGAATTGCCTGGTGGCCTGTGTGTTGCTCATCCTATCGATGGAAAACTCTCTCTCTCTCTCTCTCTTGTCCTCCCTTTCATACCGCTTAACAGCAACAGATGATGGATCATCTCTCTCTCTCTCTCTCTCTCTCTCTCTCTCTCTGTGAAACGGAGGACGATCTCTCTCTCTCTCTCTCTCTCTCTCTCTCTCTCTCTCTCTC